GGACCACATTTGCTAAGATGGGGACCACATTTGCATCATCCCACTCCATAAACCCAATGAGGTCAAATTCCTCATCTGCCTGAAGGTGTGCTAGTTCATCCTGTTTATTGCCCATGTTTCTGGCATTCCCATAAAGACACCTGAGTTCATCCTTAGTCATCTCAGGTTTTCTGTCACTTTGCAAGTGTCTTAGGGTATTGGTACTCATCTGGATGTCCTCTACATGAATGTCCTCCCCCTGGGTCATCTTGCCAAGAGGATTTATGTACAGCAGTGGAATCCTCCCTCACTCCCCCAGGCATGCCTAGTGTTGAAGCTTATGATGCCTCATTGATGCTGCAATTGACTGAAGGTGGCTAAGTTCTACCTATGGGCATATGTACTAGAAATCTATACCAAAGTATGGCACAGCAGCTATGATACAGAACAACACTTATCTATGCTCCTGAATGTAATTAAAGAAGCTACTGCCTTATGCATGGGTCTTGCAAAGACACTGTAGTCAGTGGGACTACTCACAATGTATAAAATTAAGTATGTGCACAAATCTTTGCAGGGTTAGAACAAGTACAGAAGCATTGTATTAGTCAAGAATCCTAACTTCTCTTAGGCCACTCTTCATTGTACAAACATTTAATGGTTATGGCATATGACTGTGGATAATGAACAACTGTTTGATCAAAGCAGCTTAGTTATGGCTCCCCTTCTTTCAGTCATAAGGGTTCACCTTAGCTGCTGTGTGGATGATGCAAAGGTAAGCCACTTATAGTAAAGATCTAAAAGAAGTCTTCTATTTAGCTACCTGCTTTCTTCCGCTTATTCTGTTATATAGATCATTATCTAGCACCAGGAAAAATCACCCCCACAGTACAACACCATCCTGCTACATGCTTGATAAAAGGCAGATTTTTTTAAATAAGCTTAAGATTTTTTTAAAATCTGCTCTCTTCTAGTATATTGTACTTCTATAGAATGTATTTCTCTGTTCCAGATAGAAATATGCATAGCTTAGAGTACAAAAAAATTAACACTCTGACCTCCAAAACATCATAGCTGCAGTTTGGATGATATTCAATATCGAATTCCTGAATGGTCAGCTGGATGCTGCTCTTAGGTGCTGTGTGAATGTACCAGATACATTCTCTGTTGCTTGGGTATCTGTTTGGGTAGCCAGGACTATGGAAAGATCCTGAAGGCCCAGAGAGCTCTCTGCCACAACCTGGTAACACAACAACAAAAAAGTACTATAAAACTAAGCAGTATGGAATCAACAGCTGGCAATTATAATTCAAAGAAAGATATTATCAGATTGTTAGCAGACAAATATGTAGGACCGTTTAGGCTCCAACCTGAAAGTTCATGGCATGAACATCCTTTGGTAGAGCACCATTTGGCTGGGTAGCTTCTGTCTTTATGTTTCTCTCTTTTTTTTGCCTTTGTTTTACTTATTTTTTTTAAACAATGTAAATGCTGGGGCAAAATTTTTGGGCCAGATCCTATTCACCTATTAGGCATCTAAGTTTAAGTTTCAAAGTACAATCGTATTCTATCCTGATTTAGTCTTTGAAAAACTGTCCATCTTAGCCTTAAAGCTAATGAAGACCTATCCTTAGTATTAATGTCCTTTTAGGGACTGCAGCAGTAATTGACATATTTTCTCACATATTATACTTCTCTGAGTAAGACATGCCTCTTGTTTTTGGAAGGCAGAATGGAGAAAAAAATCTTTCCTTGAAAATGTGGTAAGTATTTTAGCAGGAAAACTGGGGCAGCTGCATTAAGGGGGCTACAAAAAAAGGGCGGGGTGCACAAAACATGGTAGCACAAAGCCACTGAAGGCTGAGAACCAATCATTTGGATTTCACTCTTTAAATGTGTATTTGATAGTCTGATGTTACCCTTTCTAAGCCACTCCATTCCAGCCCCTTATTTAGCAGGTATGTATGGGAGAAAGAAACCCAGATAGAATATCCCTATGTTCCAGTGATCACTGGATTCTTGAAAAGTCTTTGATCACTAGGGTGTAGGTTAGAGGAACTGTGAGGATTTTCTGACATGGAAATGTTTCAGTTCTGGCCTTGTAGTCAAGGGTATGAAGTTGTTTTATGGCCAATCCCTTATCTTTGCAAAATTTCCGTTATGAGCCAGGCTCCTTGAAAGACAAAGGACACTACACTCTAATTAACTCTGAAAGCCACAAAATTGTGGCAAAGGTAGAGAAAAGGTGGAATGGGGAAACCAATGACAAATGGGAGCAAGTAGCTTCTCTTTTCACCACAAGCAAAGGGAAATGAGACTAATAATTTGATTTCCCTTTACTTCTCTGACTTTCTGGAGGAAGTTACATATTGGCAGTGTAAGCGTTCACAGTATGCAACTGTTTCACTTAGACTCAAACTAGCTTTTTTCCAATACAACATTTATGGGCCAACTTGAGTCACCATTAAAATAAGGCCCAAATCCTATGCTGGTTTTTTTGGCTTTCATCTCTGAGGAACACATTGGAGCACGTAGTCTTACATGTCTCATATTTGTGTGATACAGTAGTGACAATTGCCCTAGGGATTCTAGGGAGGGATAAGTACTGACATCATTAGCCTTTGCTCTCATTTCAGCCAAAGTCATTCCTTCCATCTCATTCTGCTTGAAACATATAGGCTGTTGTACTATACAACAAGAGAGCAAAGAGGACTAACAGCAATCATGAAAGGAAGGCTTTGCCTTGTTCTTCCGGGGCAGTCCTATTTTGCAGGGATTCTATGTTTCCTAACGCATCATGTCTTCCTTCTAGTTATATTTACCAAAACTGCCTGGTTAGGACTTAGCCTACTTTATGTCATGTGCACAAGTTCTGTTTAAATCTTGACCCAGAATTAACAATTATGAAATGGATTACAAGTTACTTTAGATAGTTGGCACAGAAAATGATCCTGTAGTATTCAGTTTCATGGAAAAGCTTTGAGGACTGTAGGAGTTCCTATAGCTGCTGCCTACTACTAATTTTGTTTCTCAATTCCTATTCATCATATGAAAGGAAGTGTTTTTCTTATCAAAAGGAAACACACAGATAAGCTGAAAATACTTAAAGGGAGAATTAATGGCTGTTTATTGATATTGCCTTCTTGTAAAAATAATTTCAAACGATTTTTATAAATTAAATAAATTATCATTAAAAGGTGTTTTTCATATTTAAAAATAATATTAAACAAAACAACCTAATCAACCATAAGCTGTGAAAATACAAAGTTTAAGTGCTGTAAAATGCCAAAAATACTTTATCTAAAGTGTAGTTCAAGAAAGTATTTTTGTAACATAATAACAATTCCTCTTCCACGCCTCAGTTAGCTGTCAGAGAAGCACTGCCTACTTTAATATTTCTTAAATCCATGCACAGTGTATATAGTTAATCCTGTATCCTAGCCATAATGCCATAGTTTCAATTAAAATAAATTTATTCCCCAGGAGGGTTAAAATTAATTAGTTGACAAAATCTTGTAGTAAATGCAAAATTTTCTCAACAACTTCCCTGGTGAATGTTAAAGAAAGGTACTAAATATAATAACAAGTATGGTCATCTATACAATAAAATTATTACAATCCTGTAGGGGTATTTGTTAATAAAAGGTAGATATCTCTATCTGCCAGGCCAGCTCCCCCATTGCAAACTGTAGCTTTAGATTCCTAGGGTGTTGAAACAAGTCTCAAGGGCAACAGCAACAGTTCTGAAAGGGAACAAGATAAGAAGAATCTGATTTAGGGTGGAAAAGAAAAACATAAAGGTAAACATCAAGCTAGCCATGTGGAAGATTGCTTACCAGGCATTCAAATCCCTAATCTTAGTAATTTATGTAAGGAAGTCGCATCTCCATCACTTTGTCCTGAAGAGGAAAATGAACTAGGTAAACTGCACTTACATAGTTGCAGGAAATAAAAGTTGGACATAACCTATGAAGGTCTTTCCAATCCTTAAATTTGTGAATTAATGTAGGCCTTGGCTTTCCACTCTGTTTCTTTCTTGGGTTTAAACTAATCTTATTCTCCCATCTCCTAAGTGGTTTTGTATGTACCATTCTGCTGGCTTTGTAAGTTATTGTTGCACAAGCGCTAGTATTGATGCTCATACCACAAGCACAGAAGCATTGATTATTCAGTGTCACCTGCAGTGGACAGGGCATTGTGTGTACATGGTTGGGGTGAATTTACTAAAACAACTGCTATACTGCCAACTCTACCAAGGACAAAGGACAGGCAGGGGCCACAGAAATCACTTCAAGGATACGCTCAAGGCACAAACATTAAGAAGTGTGGCTGAAATCAGAAATTGGGAAAACATATGTAACATACTGCCAATGTGGGCTCACCAGATTGGCTCGAGATACTTACCCTGGGCTAGAAACAGTGATGGTGAACTCTGGGCGACCCCAAGAGTGGAGCAGGTGAGCCCTGCCCTCTGGAAAAGGAGAAGCCAATCTAACGAAGGGGTTTTCAGTCCCCTCACTCGCATGGAAGGGGGATGGCCAGGGTTGCAAGCCAGGGAGGGACTGCCTGAGGGGATAAAAGCAGCAGCTGAATTGGCATGGGGGCTGCTGACAGTGACTCTGGGGAATGACGCAGAAGGCCTAAGAAGAGCTGGGGTGAGCTGACCCAGCAGAGGGGGCAGAGAGACACCTCTGAAGAGCCTTGAAAGCCCTGGGAGAAGAAGGCAGTGGCAGTTGGCTGTGCCTCCAGCCCTGCAACAGAAAGGGAGCTGCGGCCAGGGCTTGGGGCAGAGCTGGTGCCCCAAGACCCCATCACAGTGAGCTGGATGTGCCGGGCGTCCCAGAGGCTAAGGGTGGCAGTCGGCCCCCCACTCCACTGTGGAGAAGAAGCAACGGCCAGAAGAGCAGGCGGTATCCTTATCCAGAGCAGGGAGCTGGGCTGGTGAGTTGAGGAAACTCCTTACCTTTCCCGGGCAAGTGGGACAGCAGCAGGCAAGGCATTGGGATTCTGAGGAGTGGCAGAGTGCCAGGACAATGGTCCCTGGGAGCTCAGGGTGCAGGCCGGCGCTCAGAGCAGGATTGGCGAGCCATGAGGCGTGTGGGGTGCCTAGCCAGTCATCTGGAGCAGGGGTTTAGAACAGCAATCCCTGGGAGCTGCCTGTGCTGCTGACCCTCTGCCACTGATTGCCCCAGAGGGGACTCAGTCCTGTCCCTTATTCTGCAGCTGATTGTCATTGGATGGAGTCCCTGAGCTTTGTGCTTGGGTCATGCCAATTGCTGCAGGAGCCTACTCTGTTGCTTGTTGCTTGCCATTTTGGTTGCCATGGAGGGTCACCCTTTAGCCTCTTTGGGGGGTCAGGGTTTGATACAATTTGGTTGCTGCAGACCAGAAGAGCTTAAGCTGTCTTTCACTTACTGGGAAGGCTGTTGGAGCTGCTGGAAGTGAGCACCCTGCTTCCTTGCTGTAGCATCTCAGCAGTGGCTGACAGCTGCCAGTTACCCTACCTGCGGTTCTTGAGTGAAGGGTTGACTAATGCATTCTGGTTTGTTTTGGCATTTAAGTTCACTTGTAAATAACCTTTCCTATTATTCTTGTTTTGTAAATAAAGTGTAAATAGTTAAATCAGTTAAGTGTTAGACCTTCTTAGGACCACGGGCTGCTCTGTGGGTAGCAGGGGCCAGCTGGAAAGTAAATTGGTGCTGGCCGGAAGCCCTGCCTCACTCTCACCACACCATCCCTGATATTTGGGCAGAGGTGGCAATTATTGGGCTGCCACCCAGGTTACACACATTAAGAAGTGTGGTGCTGACATCACAAACTGAGTCTCTGAAGGACCGGGTGCAGGTGCTCGAGGAGGAGGTTCACTGGCTGTGCACCATCAGGGCCCACAAAGACTTCATCGATGGCTACTGCTAGGCTGTTCTCCAGAAGAAGGAAGAAGAGAAGGAGATAGAGATGGTGGCTAACAAGAAGGCTAACCAAGACCCACCTGGAGCTACCTGAATGACGGTCACCTCATGCTCCACAAAATGTAGGACCAGGGTTGCTCCTCCCTTCGCCCTGCACAACAGGTATGCTCTCCACCCCATGCATGAGGAGGGTCTGATGGTGACACCGGAGAAAGAGGAAGGTAAGCAGCATGATGCCACCCCCAAGAGGACACCAAGGGTCCCCTCTGCCATTCAGACCCCCTAGCCCAGGAGGTCTGCTGCCTTCCTGAGGCCTGCATCAGAGACGTTG